CATTAATAAACATAGCAGTTTCTCTGAAACTGCTATGTTTATTAAAAAATGGGTTAACCCTAGCTGGACCAGGCACCCAGACCACTTCATTAAGCTGAAGTGGTCTGGGTGTCTAGAGTGGTCCTTTAATCACACTGCTAGAAGTGTTTTGTATCAATCTGAAGCTCCGCAGATTTTAGTATAGACAGTGCTGGCTGTGCTTCCCTTTATGTGGCAATGATCAAGATGTAGCATGGCGCCATTTTGGAATGCTTGTGAATAAGCCAATTAGGACACAGGTAGCTTTTAGTTTGCCATTTTGTCAAAGGAACTGTATGAAACTATAGCTTAAGAGATGTATACACCAATCACTGGCGAATGGATAGCATTGAAAAATATTAGCTAAAATTGTTGTGCAAAATAAATTCTCCAACTCCATATTTTCCGAGTAGCTACTTTAGCTGAAGTATTGCAATTCCCTTTTCAGAGCTCTGCAGTTACGTTTATTAAATGAATCCCTAAAACGATAAAAATCTATCTGAAAACGAGTCTGCTAAATAAATACACTAAAATACGACAAATACATATTCTCTTATTGAACTACAAATCCCTCATTGACAGCCATTGGCCCTGTTAGGCACCTGGATGCTTGTATTTGAATAAATCTGGATTATATAAAGTTTGATTGTTATACTTACTCCCAGATAGTGGTAAAGTTATTTGGGGTGCATGTTCTAAATCAGTACGTGAGGAGAGCGGTGGGGGTGCATGGGGTTATCGATAGGGCCCAGGGAGAAAAGAGTTAAATAATACGAAGGAATGTTAGAAGTTCTGGATAAAAAGGAATGTGAGACAGCATGGTGGATAGGCATTGGCTCCAAAATCAGCTTTCTTTCACTCTGCGTCTGAGAACAAAGTCAAAATTTGCTGATGTATTCATAGCGTAGTACACGTTAGCTGAGTCCGGGATGGTCAGTTCTGCAGATAAAAAAAATGTAAAAAAATTATTATTGGGTATTACTACTCCACAACTCACACAATTATTCTTTAACGTGTGAACTGTCGGCAAACATACGCAATTGGAAAAAAATCTGCAAGCCATTAATGTTTTCAGTTTGGCTATATTGGAATGCATTCTTAAAATCCTCTTTCAATTCACTTACAATTTCTGACAAGTCACACATAAGTCAATAACCGAGAGTTATGCGATTGGGATGGGGGCCTGAGAGACTTCGCAGAGAGTTCTGCTGAAGCATCATGGGTAATGTAGTCCACAGATATTTGCAGTACCATCAATTATCACCTGTATCCAGTGATTATTAGTGTAGTTATTTGCTTTTTCATACACAGCTATTGCACTAGTCTCTTTTTCTTGCATGCAGTCTCTTTAAATTGGGCAGTGTGGGCCCCACATATCCAGATTGCCCGTGTTAGCCACAATAAGCTCAAACACTCTTTCCTTTTCCATATAGACATACAGCGCCTTACCTTTCCCCTCGGATAATATCTGTACTAGCTGGAAATCGTCCGGTTGACACGATTCTATATTGTGCTTGTGTAGAGCTCGCTGTATTACAACACGGGATTTGTCCTGGCTAGTGAGCTGTGTGAGAGAATGAAACAGTTTTAGGGATCTATAAAATCCACAAAGACAAATAATTAGAATTTACTGCAATACTCAGGGAGAGCTGGCGAACAACCCACAATGCTTTGCAAACACACATGGGCACAGCGACCCAACAACGCTTAGTAAAGCTGCTGGTTTGAAAATCTCACTTATTTGAACACTTCTGAATAAACTGTTTGCCGCTAAATCAGCGAACAAGCAAGATTGGAGGCAAAACAAAAAGGCCTTTTTATTTAAGGATCTATATTTTGTTATCAAATTTATAGTAAAAATAAATTCTGAATCTGAATCATACATTGAAAAAAAGATAATAAACAGCATAATACATCGAACAAACTCAGAAAAAAAACAATAGAAGGTACTAGGAGCCTCGTCCCAGAGGCTAAATTCCAAACTGTAGATATTAATGTGAATAGAGCAGGACTGCAGACCACATACAGCACTCACCAATATACTCTTATAAAGGTTGCCATGTGTGTTTTCCATACTGACACGAATAATACAGAGATCAGCAATCTGCTGGTTATAAACAGGGAGCGCGCAGGATGGGGAAACAGGAGAACGAGGAGAAGAGACAGGGCGAGATAAATCATCACGGATTGGAGTGGCTGGTGGGGTGAGAGGTTCTGTGAAATTCTGTAACAAAAAAAGGACATAGCTTGTTAAAATAACCCGGCTCCTGAATGCGATACTCCTCTAACATCTTATTACAGTAACAGGCTCCTGAGTGCGATACTCCTCTAACATCTTATTACAGTAACCGGCTCCTGAGTGCGATACTCCTCTAACATCTTATTACAGTAACCGGCTCCTGAGTGCGATACTCCTCTAACATCTTATTACAGTAACCGGCTCCTGAGTGCGATACTCCTCTAACATCTTATTACAGTAACCCAGCTCCTGAGTGCCTTATTACCCCGTAACATCTTATTACAGTAACCCGGCTCCTGAGTGCCTTATCACCCTGTAACATCTTATTACAGTAACCTGGCTCCTGAGTGCCTTATCACCCTGTAACATCTTATTACAGTAACCCGGCTCCTGAGCGCCTTATTACCCAGTAACATCTTATTACAGTAACCCGGCTCCTGAGTGCCTTATTACCCTGTAACATCTTATTACAGTAACCCGGCTCCTGAGTGCCTTATTACCCTGTATCATCTTATTACAGTAACCTGGCTCCTGAGTGCCTTATTACCCTGTAACATCTTATTACAGTAACCTGGCTCCTGAGCGCCTTATTACCCTGTAACATCTTATTACAGTAACCCGGCTCCTGAGTGCCTTATTACCCTGTATCATCTTATTACAGTAACCTGGCTCCTGAGTGCCTTATTACCCTGTAACATCTTATTACAGTAGCTCGGCTCCTGAGTGCCTTATTACCCTGTAACATCTTATTACAGTAACCTGGCTCCTGAGTGCCTTATTACCCTGTAACATCTTATTACAGTAACCCGGCTCCTGAGTGCCTTATTACCCTGTATCATCTTATTACAGTAACCCAGACCCTGAGTGCCTTATTACCCCGTAACATCTCATTACAGTAACCCGGCTCCTGAGTGCCTTATTACCCTGTAACATCTTATTACAGTAACCTGGCTCCTGAGTGCCTTATTACCCTGTAACATCTTATTACAGTAGCTCGGCTCCTGAGCGCCTTATTACCCTGTAACATCTTATTACAGTAACCCGGTTTCTGAGTGCCTTATTATCCCTGTAATATCATATTACCGTAAAGCCGATCTCTAGTGCCTTATTGTATATTGTAATACCGTTTAACAGGTGTGAATTGAAAAGCCTAATTACCTGGCTTGAGGCAGATTCAGCTGGGATTAGAGCAGCAATCAGTCCTTCATCAATCTCACAGCTGCTACAGGATCCTGAAGGAGACACACGCTCGCCGTTTAACTTAGGACCAAATACTTCAGAGCCTAGCAACAAACTGAGAGAAAGATAGAAAGAGAATGTTATAATTAACCAGCCATACATTTATACAAAGGTCTAGCTGAGCTACATAAAAAACAAACAAGTGAAAAAAAACTAAATATACAACAAAAATGACTGTGATATATAAAAGCAATACAACATTAACATCACATATGCATAGTCGCCTTTCTGGCATATGCGTGATAAACCCCCCCCAAAAAAACACAAATACTTGGACACCATTATTTGGGAAAATTATCACAGCATTATTAATATATATAAATAAGTTAAAATAATTTAAGGTCATTGTCACATATTAACATAACATATCCCCCCAACTCCTTTAACAATACTACGCCCGACAATGACCCACAACACAATAAGTAAAACCACATTTTAACATATAATTAACATATAAACATAACCATTACCACCGAGGGCATGGTTTCCAGCGTTCTTCCATGTAGGGGCATACCGAGATACACCCTACACACAGCAGGTTCGGACCTACCTACCAATACTCTTCCAAACCAAAATGTTCTTAGCGAACCAAACTATTTTCCCTCAGGACAAACAACCTACACCCCAACTTCTCTATCCATGATTAAATGCATCTCTAGGAGGAGATTCTTATTGGCGCAGAACTGCATTTTGCCGTACATGCGCAATAGCGTCCCTATGCTTTCCTATGGGAAAGCATTGGATTGGCTGAGATCATCAAGTTTGATGATCTCAGCAAGGGAGGTGAAGCCAGCCAAGGCAAGACGTGGGACAGAAGTTGAGTAAAATCACTTTTTCAGAGCGAGCTGAGGGGGACCAAAACAGTCGCAACAGCACTATAGTGTCAGAAATACATGTTTGTATTCCTGACACAATAGTGTTCCTTTAAGAGGAAGGATTGATTGACAGCACTGCATAATGTATTCTCTATGCAATAATGGATTATTCAGTAATGTGGACATGGCAAATTATAGGCAAAATAGCCAAAATCAAAAAAACTCTTCAACTTAGCTATTCTTTCTAGTTTGGCTATTTTTGTCAATTCTCCACCAATATAATGAATAAACCCCAGTAAGCAATAAGCAGACAGTGTACTTACGAGCTGAAACGTTTTGTCAGTTTCCTGCGGATTCGGGGGGAATTTGGACAGGAATCAGCAGGGGGCTCAATGGTACGAGAGATCCTGTAACTGGAAGATATATCAAGGAAAAACTTATATTTATGTTTTGTTAATAACCAAAATCACCCCCAAAATGCTGGTACCATTACAATTTATGAGTATGGTAATAACAAATTTAAAACTACATCTCATTATTACAACCGAATTATTAACTTTGTTTTTCATTATATACAGCCCCATTATAATAACCCTACAAAAATTATAGAAATGTATTTATAATGGTAATATATCCATGACAGAAGCCGTATTATAGCAGGAATAAGAGTATCCATAAGACTCTCAATATAATTGTTTCCCAGTGAAATGATCGTCACACCTTTGGTCCTCCGTCAACTGTCGGTGAGCGTAAAATGACTGGATAAATTCTGGCTTTCGTGTCAGGACATAGTGTCGGCATGTCAGCTGCAACTTCTGGATCTTAGCCAGAACATCGTGCTCCTAGAGACATAGGGCAAGATACAGGAGGATGCATGAAAATCTGTGTTTGTGGGTCTCTATGTGTTTGTGAGTATGTGTAACTGTGTGCATGCTTGTGCATCTTTGTAGATACTGTTTGTTTCTGACAGCTTGTGTATCAGCCTGTTGCTTGCGAATTTGAATTTCTGCACATCTTTCTGCCTGTGTCTGAATGTATTTCTGTGTGTTTGTAATAGTGCTAGTTTGTGTATTTTTGTGTGATTGTTTGCAGGTATACCTTTGACTGTATCTAGTGCTGAGTACATGTGCATGTATGGATATAATGGTGTTAGAATCACTGTAATTGTGTACACTAGGAGTGTTTATTATACAGGTATTATTAGTAGCATGTGATAACTTACCTTACGCCTCTTTTCGAAGTTAATGAGCCCACCCTGTAAATTGTCAAGAGGTTTAGATGTACATAGAAAGAGAATATAGAAAGAAAATATTTTACACAATATACTGTACAGCATAATGTATTTATTATCCCTATACAACTCTAAGGACAATATTCTAGTGTCACTGGGTGCAAAATGAAACATCCAGAGGAATCTGAGGGATCCAAACAAAGGCTTAAAATTAGATAGTCAAAGGTAGCAGGTGTATTCACACAGATTCAGCAAATGAGACCCTTCTGGGATCACATACAGTATCTCACAAAAGTGAGTACACCCCTCACATGTTTGTAAATATTTTATTATATCTTTTCATGTGACAAAACTGAAGAAATGACACTCTGCTACAATGTAAAGTAGTAAGTGTACAGACTGTATAACAGTGTAAATCTGCTGTCCCATCAAAATAACTCAACACACAGCCATTAATGTCTAAACCATGGGTCGTCAACCTGGTCCCTACCACCCACTAGTGGGCGTTTCAGGATTCCAGGTGGGCGGTAGGGATTTCAGAGAGGGAGGGCGGGTGCGAGCCAGCGGTACCCGTTCTACCGGGTACCGCCGTCACCATTTTCGGCCCCAGCCCGCTGTCAGGGCCACCCGATGGATGTAGATTGAGAGGGGGCCCGGTCGGCGCTGGGCGCTTTAACAGCGCGACCGGGCCCCCTATTATTACATCACACGCTGGGAGGAATTGACTGCACGTCACTCCTCCCAGCTAAAACTGAGAGCCGTGCAGGAGGAAGACCAGGGAGTCAGAGTGGGAACTCTGACTCCCATGCACCTGAGCCACCTCTGGACCCCAGGGAAAGTCACCCTCCTGCACCTTAAAGGTAGGAAACAGGAGGGTGACAAAAATATTTTGTGTGTGTTTGTTTGTGTGTATGTGTCTTTGTATGTATGTCTTGTGTGTGTCTATGTATGTATGTATGTATGTCTTGTGTGTGTGTGTCTATCTATATGTATGTGTTTGTGTCTTGTGTCTGTCTGTATGTGTGTATGTGTACCTGTCTGTTTGTATGTATGTGTGTTTGTATGTATGTGTACCTTACTGTTTGTATGTATGTGTACCTGTCTGTTTGTATGTATGTGTGTGTCTGTATGTATGTGTACCTGTCTGTTTGTATGTATGTGTGTGTATGTATGTGTGTGTGTGTGTCTGTATGTATGTGTGCCTGTCTGCATGTATGTGTCTTGTGTGTGTGTGTGTGTGTCTGTATGTGTGCCTGTCTGTTTTTCTGTATGTATGTATGTATGTATGTGCGCCTGTCTGTGTGTGTGTCTGTATGTGTGCCTGTCTAGGTGTGCCTGCCTGTGTGTGTCTGTATGTGTGCCTGTCTGTTTGTATGTATGTGTCTTTTTATGTGTGTGTGTATGTATGTGTGTCTGTCTGTTATAGTGGGCTATAGTAAGTGGGCTACCGAGCTAAGCCTTCCTACTGGGCATTGCTATAAGGAAGGTTACAAAATAGAAAAAAGGGATAAAAAAGGTGGGGAGGGGAATTGAGGAGGGAGATGAGATGAGCTGACGCACAGATGAGAAATCCTATTATGCGCAAACAGAGAAGTCGTCTGAATATCACCGAAAGAGGAGACCTTCGTTTGTTCCTTACGAAAATCGAACCAGATATCAAATATTTAGTCTCGTAGCATCAACCTCAAGGATCTCATTAATCACTAGTAAAGGTAATTTCAATTTACTTTATTGTTTTCCAATTAAAATTTATAATGTTAAAAATATTATAAACATGCATTATGTAGAAATAAAAAGATAAATGCACGTACATTTTTTTTTTTTTTTTAAAACACCCTCCTTTCTAAAAAATATTCCGCACTTGCGCGAAAACTGGTGGGCGGTAAGGAAATTTTTCCATCAAGAAAGATGCATTAGTGGGCGGTAGGTAGAAAAAGGTTGACTACCACTGGTCTAAACCGTTGGCAACAAAAGTGAGTACACCCCTACAGTGGTGATCCCCATTCACAGGAAGTGATCGAAGATAACTGACTCTAAGTGCTGCAATGCATAAACAAAGGATTGTCCCTCATCACCTACAATCACTGCTCAATTTGCACTAGCAGATATCTTAAGTACCACTGGGACTCCTGATAGGCCAGATCATGTTTGTCTCTGGCAGCCTTGAGTGCCAGGCAAAGGAACACTGAGTGCCATAGGTTGCTGACCCCTGGCCTAGGCTATAAGAAGATTGCTAAGACCCTGAAACTGAGCTACAGCACAGTGGGCATGACCATACAGTGGTTCCACAGGACAGGCTCCACTCAGAACAGGCCTCGCCATGGTCGACCAAAGGAGTTGAGTGCACGTGCTCAGCGTCATATCCAGAGGCTGTCTTTGGGAAATAGACGTATGAGTGCTGCCAGCATTGTTGCAGAGGTTGAAGGGGTTGGTGGTCAGCCTGTCAGTGCTTAAACCATACGCCGCACACTGCATTAAATTTGTCTGCATGGCCGTTGTCCCAGAAGGAAGCCTCTTCTAATGATGATGCACAAGTAAATCCGCAAACAGTTTGCTGAAGACAAGCAGACTAAGGACATGGATTACAGGAACCATGTCCTGTGGTCCGATGAGACCAAGATAAACTTTCAGATGGTGTCAAGCGTTTCTGTCGAGAACCAGGTGAGGAGTACAAACACAAGTGTGTCTTGCCTACAGTCAAGCATGGTAGTGGGAGTGTCATGGTCTGGGCCTGCATGAGTGCTGCTGGCACTGGGGAGCTACAGTTCATTGAGGGAACCATGAATGCCAACATGTACTGTGACATACTGAAGCAGAGCATGATCCCCTCCCTTCGGAGACTGGGCCGCAGGGCAGTATTCCAACACGATAACGACCCCAAACACACCTCCAAGACGACCACTGCCTTGCTAAAGAAGCTGAAGGTAAGGGTGATGGATTGGCCAAGGATGTCTCCAGACCTAAACCCTATTGAACATCTGTGGGGCATCCTCACATGGAAGGTGGCGGAGTACAAGGTCTCTAACATCCACCAGCTACATGATGTCGTCATGGAGGAGTGGAAGAGGACTCCAATGGCAACCTGTGAAGCTCTGGTGAACTCCATGCCCATGAGGGTTAAGGCAGTGCTGGAAAATAATGGTGGCCACACAAAATATTGACACTTTGAGCCCAAATTGGACATTTTCACTGTGTTATTTTGAGGGGACAGCAGATTTACACTGTTATACAGGCTGTACACTTACTACTTTACATTGTAGCGGAGTGTCATTTCTTCAGTATTGTCACAAGAAAAGATATAATAAAATATTTACAAAAATGTGAGGAGACCAGAGCTGATTTACATCCCAGGTATTATCATAGGAACAAGTAATACTGAGCACAACTGGCGTTGTGTTATTTTTGGAATGGAGGTGAAGTATCGAACAAGCTGGTTGGGATATGGATAACATGTGTTCAACTGGCATCAATGGGCTGAGTGTGGTAGACAGTGGAATGGGTACCCAGAGAATAATACAATCTCACCTCTACAAAGTCTGGTAACGCTGTGTCCAGCATGATGAGGTCTGTGAGGAATGTCCCCAGGTATGGCACCGTTCCCTGCGTCGGTCTCTGCAGCAGGAAAAAGTGACAGCTCTTTGAAACAAGATCACATAATAAAATGAGTCTATAATTAATGGGATCTAACTGTAAAAATAAAGTAAATATATCAATTTTAAAAATAAGGGAATTATTACTGTGGAGAATATCTTTTTCCTTTTTTTAATCTTACCGAAGAGTGGACCTGGGACGCTGAGCGCCGGAGTGGGCGTGGCTCATTGCGCGCACTGTGTGTTCTACGGAGTGGAATCTCATCCTGAAATTGTAAAGATAATTAGCACATTACCACTAGCATGTAAAAAAACACTTATTATATAATGAGCTTATTGTAATTATTACTTTATACCGTGCAACGTGTTCATTATCAGTGTTTAGATACTCATGATCATTATACAGCGCAGTGTGTTCATTATCAGTGTATAGGTACTCAGTATTATTATACAGCGCAGTGTGTTCATTATCAGTGTATAGATACTCAGTATTATTATACAGCGCAGTGTGTTCATTATCAGTGTATAGATACTCAGTATTATTATACAGCGCAGTGTGTTCATTATCAGTGTATAGATACTCAGTATTATTATACAGTGCAGTGTGTTTATTATCAGTGTATAGATACTCAGTATTATTATACAGCGCAGTGTGTTCATTATCAGTGTATAGATACTCAGTATTATTATACAGCGCAGTGTGTTCATTATCAGTGTATAGATACTCAGTATTATTATACAGCGCAGTGTGTTCATTATCATGTATAGATACTCAGTATTATTATACAGCGCAGTGTGTTCATTATCAGTGTATAGATACTCAGTATTATTATACAGCGCAGTGTGTTCATTATCAGTGTATAGATACTCAGTATTATTATACAGCGCAGTGTGTTCATTATCAGTGTATAGATACTCAGTATTATTATACAGCGCAGTGTGTTCATTATCAGTGTATAGACACTCAGTATCATTATACAGTGCAGTGTGTTCATTATCACTGTATAGATACTCAGTATAATTATACAGTGCAGTGTGTTCATTATCAGTGTATAGATATTCAGCATTATTATACAGCGCAGTGTGTTCATTATCACTGTATAGATTCTCAGTATTATTATACAGTGCAACGTGTTCATTATCAGTGTATAGATACTCAGTATTATTATACAGCGCAGTGTGTTCATTATCACTGTATAGATACTCAGTATTATTATACAGTGCAACGTGTTCATTATCAGTGTATCGATACTCAGTATTTTTATACAGTGCAGTGTGTCCATTATCAGTGTATAGATACTCAGTATTATTGTACAGCGCAGTGTGTTCATTATCAGTGTATAGATACTCAGTATTATTATACAGCGCAGTGTGTTCATTATCAGCTTATAGATACTCAGTATTATTATACAGTGCAGTGTGTTCATTAATAGTGTATAGATACTCAGTATTAGTATACAGCGCAGTTTGTTCACTATCAATGTATAGATACTCAGTATTATTATACAGTGTGTTCATTATCAGTGTATAGATACTCAGTATTATTATACAGTGCAGTGTGTTCATTATCAGTGTATAGATACTCAGTATTATTATACAGTGCAGTGTGTTCATTATCAGTGTATAGATACTCAGTATTATTATACAGTGCAGTGTGTTCACTATCAGTGTATAGATACTCAGTATTATTATACAGCGCAGTATGTTCATTATCAGTGTATAGATACTCAGTATTATTATACAGCGCAGTGTGTTCATTATCAGTATATAGATACTTAGTGTCATTATACAGTGCAGCATGTTCATTATCAGTGTATAGATACTCAGTGTTATTATACAGCGCAGTGTGTTCATTATCAGTGTATAGATACTCAGTATTATTATACAGTGCAGTGTGTTCATTATCAGTGTATAGATATTCAGTATCATTATACAGCGCAGTGTGTTCATTATCAGTGTATTGATACTCAGTATTATTATACAGCGCAGTGTGTTCATTATCAGTGTATAGATACTCAGTATTATTATACAGCGCAGTGTGTTCATTATCAATGTATAGATACTTAGTGTCATTATACAGCGCAGTGTGTTCATTATCAGTGTATAGATACTCAGTATTATTATACAGCGCAGCATGTTCATTATCAGTGTATAGATACTCAGTGTTATTATACAGTGCAGTGTGTTCATTATCAGTGTATAGATACTCAGTATTATTATACAGCGCAGTGTGTTCACTATCAGTGTATAGATACTCAGTATCATTATACAGTGTGTTCATTATCAGTGTATAGATACTCAGTATCATTATACAGTGTGTTCATTATCAGTGTATAGATACTCATTATTATTATATAGTGCAGTGTGTTTAATATCAGTGTATAGATACTCAGTATCATTATACAGTGCAGTGTGTCCATTATCAGAGTATAGATACTCAGTATTATTATACAGTGCAGTGTGTTCATTATCAGTGTATAGATACTCAGTATTATTATACAGCGCAGTGTGTTCACTATCAGTGTATAGATACTCGGTGTTATATGCAATGGTGTGTTCACTATCGGTGTATGGATGCTCAGTATCATTATACGAAGCAGTGTGTTCATTATCAATGTATGGATACTCAATTATTATTATGCAGGCGCGGTGTGTTCATTAATAGTGTATAGATACTCAGTATTATTATACGGTGCGGTGTGTTCATTATCAGTGTATAGATACTCAGTATTATTATACAGTGCGGTGTGTTCATTATCGGTGTATAGATACTCGGTATTGTATACGGCGGTGTGTTCATTAATGGTGTATAGATACTCAGTGTTATTATACGGTGCGGTACTTCATGGTGTATGGATACTCTATTCATTATTATACAGTGCAGTGTGTTCATTATGCTGTATGAATTACTCGGTATTATTATACGGTAGCGGTGTGTTCATTATCGGTGTGTAGATGCTCAGTATTATTATACAGGTGCCGGTGTGTTCGCACTATCGGTGTATGGATGCTCGGTATTATTATTATACAGCGCAGTGTGTTCATTATCAGTGTATAGATACTCAGTATTATTATACAGTGCAGTGTGTTCATTATCAGTGTATAGATATTCAGTATCATTATACAGCGCAGTGTGTTCATTATCAGTGTATTGATACTCAGTATTATTATACAGCGCAGTGTGTTCATTATCAGTGTATAGATACTCAGTATTATTATACAGCGCAGTGTGTTCATTATCAGTGTATAGATACTCAGTATTATTATACAGAGCAGTGTGTTCATTATCAGTGTATAGATACTCAATATTATTATACAGTGCAGTGTGTTCATTATCAGTGTATAGATACTCAGTATTATTATGCAGCGCAGTGTGTTCATTATCAGTGTATAGATACTCAGTATTATTATACAGCGCAGTGCGTTCATTATCAGTGTATAGATACTCAGTATTATTATACAGCGCAGTGTGTTCATTATCAGTGTATAGATACTCAGTATTATTATACAGCGCAGTGTGTTCATTATCAGTGTATAGATACTCAGTATTATTATACAGCGCAGTGTGTTCATTATCAGTGTATAGATACTCAGTATTATTATACAGCGCAGTGTGTTCACTATCAGTGTATAGATACTCAGTGTTATTATACAGCGCAGTGTGTTCACTATCAGTGTATAGATACTCAGTATCATTATACAGCGCAGTGTGTTCATTATCAATGTATAGATACTTAGTGTCATTATACAGTGCAGCATGTTCATTAGCAGTGTATAGATACTCAGTATTATTTTACAGCGCAGCGTGTTCATTATCAGTGTATAGATACTCAGGATCATTATGCAGCGCAGTGTGCTCATTATCAGTGTATAGATACTCAGTATTATTATATATCAATGTATTTTAAACCATGCATAGTAATTACCTTGTTTAAAATCTCCCGACTCATTTCGTGGTTATTTTCATCAGAGAAAATGGCGGATAATTTGTGGAAGACCATCAGATTATCCCTAGATTAAAAACATGAGACAATGAGAATCTAGCTTTGTAGCAGTTCCTGTCTGCCGGTGTTTGCTGTCTGGTGAGCAGTGTGTCTGTGGAGGGAACCATGCGCACACTGTACCTGCTCACTGACGCCCATGTTCTCTTCAGTCTGTAGATGGAGTTTGACTGCAGAGCTGACAAAATAGCTCTAAGAGAAGAGAAATTGCGCAGGAACCGGCAGTGCTGAAAAAGAAAGACAATGACAATTAATTTCTAATATCCATATTCTGTACCTGTAGGGAAAACAACAAATTCCATATAATGTAGCTCCCTCCTGTCTGTGTCACCCTGTGCTGGTAGTGACAGACTCCATGTCCCATAGCTACCTCCTGTCTGTGTCACCCTGTGCTGGGAGTGACAGACTCCATGTCCCATAGCTCCCTCCTGTCTGTGTCACCCTGTGCTGGGAGGGACAGACTCCATATCCCATTGCTCCCTCCTGTCTGTGTGACCCTGTGCTGAGAGGGACAGACTCCATGTCCCATAGCTCCCTCCTGTCTGTGTCACTCTGTGCTGGTAGTGACAGACTCCATGTCCCATAGCTACCTCCTGTCTGTGTCACCCTGTGCTGGGAGTGACAGACTCCATGTCCCATAGCTCCCTCCTGTCTGTGTCACCCTGTACTGGGAGGGACAGACTCCATATCCCATTGCTCCCTCCTGTCTGTGTCACCCTGTGCTGGGAGGGACAGACTCCATATCCCATAGCTCCCTCCTGTCTGTGTCACTCTGTGCTGGTAGGGACAGACTCCATGTCCCATAGCTCCCTCCTGTCTGTGTCACCCTGTGCTGGGAGGGACAGACTCCATATCCCATAGCTCCCTCCTGTCTGTGTCACTCTGTGATGAAATAATGATAACAATAATGAAATCACACCTGTGCTATGCCAATCCATTTCTCTAGCACCTTCGCTCTCTGCTGTGGTCTCAGCTGAATATCATTTAGCACAGATGCTGTTACACACGCTGTCACTGCATTAAACTGAGCCACAGTGGCCCTAACACTGGGGGCCACGTGTCTGTTTTCCTTCTTGTCACGTTGTGACCAAATACTGCCGAGACAGTGACACGTTTGGAGCCTCTGAAATAAGTCCTGCAAAAGAGAGTAAAAGTTACATGCGAGAGCGGGTTTCAGGTAGTTACACTATATCCCGGTAATTAATATACGGTAACTCTAATTCCTAATATACGCAGTAACAATGGCTGAAGAGGACAGTCAGTGTTTAACACATCTCTCTTTTATTTTACTGTTGATTGAATAGTAGACAACAATCCCAATTTTTCCCACAAAATGGTAAAACAATCCTTCGTGACTTCAAAATAAGATTTCTCCCTGGATCAAAAAACGCAACAATATAAAGGAAACCAAAACAGCCCTAAACCTTTGTTTAAACTACAGATCCCATGATTCCATTTTATTCCAGAAGTTTGGTCCTTAAGGGGTTAAACTACAGATCCCATGATTCCTGGCCAACCCATGGGTGGATAAAAAATAGTGCTCTATAGATAGAATATAGTCATGGGAAATATAGCTTAATGGCATCTTGAGAAATAATTTCTACAGATTAGGGATGATAGGAATTGTAAACCAATGACACAAGCTTGGACCTCCCCAAATCCTATATTTAGTATCTACACATCTTCTTTCAGATAATCTGTAAAGCAGCCCACCAGTGTTAGTTAGATTTGAAAAAAATAGCTTTATATCTGTTTATTTGGAATAAAGACAGCCGTTTGGATCAGCAGTTAAAGGTTGGGGATGTTTGGTAGCTTTCTAGGCAAATACACTCTGGCTCTTGGCGTTAGTGTAAGTTAGTTAGGTAAACTGGGCAGATTGTGACAGTCTGTTGATTTTTTAAAATCGGATGATTATTTAACAGATAATATTGGACGTTTAAAATGAACTTGACTACCTCAAAATTAAGACTTCATTGAGCAATAACTACAAACACTAATCGATTGTAGTTCCTTCACCAAATATATTTTAAATAATGTGTACTTTTTTTAGACTGAGGTGAAAATAATACTGTCTCTTTAAACAGAGCTATTTGTTATAGGAAGCATATTATATAATGCACATAAATAAATTGGAAACCTCTAAGATACAGACTGTATTATAAACAGAATTAAATACATAACTTTTGGGAGTTTTATCTACTAAACCCCTACTTAGGAAGCTCGTATCCTGGGGAATTTGAACACAATTGTGTAAAAAACTATCAAGAAAACTCAGTGCTTTTAAGAATGACTCATATTATCAGGTGAACTTGATAGAAAATCAGGACTGTGCCACCAAAATCGAGACTGTTTGGAGGGCTGGATCTTTGCATTCTGTGGACAGCGCAAAACGTTTGACAAAGAACGAAGGTGACAATGTTAAGAGAATATGCCTATAGAATGGCCACAAGTTAATATGCATGTAGGGAGTTTATACTCTAAACTTGGAAATATGGAGTATTGCCAAACGTATGCAAAATGTATGGCAAAACAGCTGAGATGGGAAAATATTCAAGAAGCATTTCTCTATTTTGGCAATTCTCCAAAGTTACTGGTTTACTCAATTAACTCAACAAGTATCCAGAAAGTACTGCGAGGCCTGGAGTAAGCAATGAGGCAGCAAGTCACACATTATCCTGAAAGCTAGCTCCTAACTTTTTAACGTCAAAAAAGAACACAGTGATTCAAAACATGTTACTCAAAGATCAGTGAAGCAGAGCAGGTTTTCTTGAATCTTTGCTGACATCAGGGAAAATTTAATAGCTAGGTTCTGAAAAGTGTTTTCCTCAGTATATAGAATTCATATGATGTGTGTGATGTAAATTAAAGGGATGCTATAGTCACCAAAACAAATTTAGATTAATGAAGCAGTTTTGCTGTATAGATAATGCCCCTGCAGTTTCACAGCTCAATTTGATGCCATTTGGGAGTTAAATCACAATGTTTATACAGCCCTAGTCACACCTCCGTGCATGTGACTTGCAGAGCCTTCCAAAACACTTCCTGTAAAGAGTCACCTAATGTTTATACTTCCTTTATTGCTAATTCTTTTAACTTTAGAATTTCTTATCTCCTACTCTGTTAATAGATTGCTAGACCCTGCAGGAGCTCCTTGTGTGGGATTAAAGTTCAATTTACAGAGCAGGAGATAAATAAGTTAACATGCGATTGAAAGTGAATCCATTCTGTTTTCATGCAGGCTGTGTCAGTCACAGCCAGGGTAGGTGTGGCTAGGGCTGCATAAACAGAAACAAAGTGATTTAACTCATAAATGGCAGATAACTGAGCAAAGAGACTGCAAGGGCATGGCCTATATACTAAAACTGCTTCATTAAAGTTATTTTGGAGACTGTAGCTTCCCTTTAAATAATCAAGTAGGAAATAATAAGAATGAATGACAAATACATGAATTGCATGCACACACTTACTACATCAATCAGGGTAAGTTGTTCGGCCACTTCCTGGGAAGGATAGGACAATAATTCAGGGATGTTTCCTGAGGCATCTGCGCTCTCCTTGTTGTGTTCTGAAGGCTGCGTGGAGAGTCTCCATTCTAAATTTACGGAAAAATCAGTTATCACAGGAGTGCTGTGTTACCCACAGGTTCCTGGAAGAAATGAATCTTACCTTGCAGAGTCACGTCTTGTTTTCCTTCTTCTTCCAAACTTTGTACCAGGTGAAGAAGGTGATTTGAGGTCTCACGGCTATCATGGGTTAGGTAGGACGAGATGAGATGTAGGCATTGAGGGGTATCTAGAAAATCTTGAGGATGTGTCTCTAACCAGGTCTGGAGAATGCCCCGGATAACCCTGAAATGAAGCATAAGAGAATGGGTCTATTGTGGTGCGTTCGTCTAATTAGGAGTTATCTAAACATTTTAGGATTTAAGAGTAAAAAAAACAAAAAAACAACAACAAACAACCCAAACATAAATTCTGAAACTTAGTATTAGGATTTGATCAGACGATTACCAAGGATTGCTCACTAAGGACTTGACATAATTATTGTTGTATGAAGCATTTTTATTAAATGAAGACAATCACAACACAAAAATAAATGAATAATCAAGTCAATAAAGAGGGGATGAAAGAGATCCCTTACCTACCGGTCTAATTTAATCAAACAAACTAATCCACTACTAACCATTTCAATATAATGAAGATTGAAACAAACATATCCCCTACTAAGCAATCAGATTCAACAAAGTTCACATGAAGCTTAACCATTAAAAATATGATTCATTTGCAATTATTTGCCGACCACAAATTTACTCAGTCACCTTCCTATTAACCAAGGACACCCCCCCACATCCCATATACAGCTCTCATTTTTATCCACACAAAACACTCAGTCACTACACACACAACCCTCCGCCATTACACACTCACACACAACATTCAGCCACTACACACACAACCCTCAGCCACTACACACTCTCACACACAACACTCAGCCACTACACACAACACTCAACAACTACACTCAACACTCAGCCACTACACACAACACTCAGCAACTACACACAACACTCAGCCACTACACACAACACTCAGCAACTACACACAACACAGTCACTACACACCACAACACTCAGTATCCCCACCGCCCATACACACAACATTCAGCCACTACACACACAACCTCAGCCACTACATACTCACACACAACATTCAGCCACTACACACACAACGCTCAGCCACTATACACTCTCACACACAACACTCAGTCACTACACACAACACTCAGCAACTACACACAACACACAGTCACTACACACACAACACTTAGTGTCCCCACTGCCTGTACACACAACATTCAGCCACTGCACACACACCCCTCAGCCACTACACACTATCACACACACAACATTCAGCCACTACACACAACATTCAGCCACTACACACAACACTCAGTCACTACACACAACACTCAGCAACTACACACAACACACAGTCACTACACACACAACACTTAGTGTCCCCACCGCCCATACACACAACATTCAGCCACTGCACACACACCCCTCAGCCACCACACACTATCACACACACAACATTCAGCCACTGCACACAACACTCAGCCACTACACACAACACTCAGCAACTACACACAACACACAGTCACTACACACACAACACTTAGTGTCCCCACCGCCCATACACACAACATTCAGCCACTGCACACACACCCCTCAGCCACTACACACTATCACACACACAACATTCAGCCACTACACACAACACTCAGCCACTACACACAACACTCAATCACTACACACACAACACTCGGTATCCCCACCGCCCATGCACACAACATTCAGCCACTACACACTCTCACACACTAACCCTCAGCCACTACACACTCTCACACACTAACCCTCAGCCACTACACACGCTTTCACACACAACCCTCAGCACACACGTTTTGCGAATGCAAAGATCCAGCCCTCACACACTATCACACACACAACATTCAGCCACTACACACAACACTCAGCCACTACACACAACAGTCAGCCACTACACACACAACACTCGGTATCCCCACCGCCCATACACACAACATTCCGCCACTACACACTCTCACACACTAACCCTCAGCCACTACACACTCTCACACACAACCCTCAGCCACTACACATGCTTTCACACACAACCCTCAGCCACTACACACGCTTTCACACACAGACACAACACGCAGTCTCCCTCCCTCCTCCCATATACACAATACTCACTGAAACAGAGCATGGGGCTCTAAGAGGAGACCATGATCTAGAATGCTGCCTGGGCCCCTGGGCAATCTTAATTCAGCTCTTAATGGCTGATTATACAGTATGATATTATCATAAAAACCTAGCTACGGGGATCTATTTATTAACTCAGCCACATAGGAAATACATGGATAGACAATTCTTCTGGCTGGCACAGTTTGATCCCCAGACCTGTGATATCAGTAGCAGTTTAGCAGTAATTGCCTGGAAAGTTTTGAACATGAAAACAAAGCTTAGAATGTAAAATACATTACCAATCCATTTATAAACTGGGGTTGCGGATGTTTTAAGGAGAGGCATAATTAATTACAAAATCACGTTGACTCCTACTAATTACATTATTGCATAAAACAATGTCCTGAACATACTGACATCACAATTCTTTCTCTCGTTATATTTGATAGACCTACAGGTCCAGTATTACCAGACTGCGATCCAGTTTTAATTCACACCTATATCTTCCCACACTAACACTATACCTACCTGCCCAGGAGCCATTGCTAGTATGTTACCTTATAACAGAGGGATTTCCATACACCACTGTCAATAATCATAACTCCAGAAATTATAGGTCATATTCTCAATGAACACATGGGTATTCTATTAATGCACTGTGACCTCTCAATTTTCACACTGACCTCTGTACACGCAGGACATCTGGAACTGGGCTTCCAGGAGGAAGAGTTTCTTCATTGCCCACTTTTTCTAAGCGTCTGTAGAGAAAAACAACCTCAGTTTATCATCTGGACAGCTCTGAGGTGGGATCTATCCGTCCATCCAGGGTAACTCTTTGTAAACGGCCACCAGGTAATTTATTGTTTATAGCAGGAATTTTAATGCGTCTGTATAAAGGTGCCTTGCCAGTAGTTGGTGCAACAAATGTACACTTGAAGTTATCAGATACTGTTGACTATCTACCCAAAATCACCTTATATCCCAAAAGGTTTCAACCTTAAGAAAAATGGCAATAATAATGAAGAGGAGTGGCAACCATATGACTGATGGGCATTTAAATACCCTCAGTCCAGTAAGGCCTCATTAATCCTACCTCTTAGCCGTCTTGCTGGGGGTACACACAATTTTAATTTCATGGTTCAATTTCATTTTATTTTGTTTTAATATCAGGCTCTAAGGTTTACTTTTTTATTTCATTTTTAAAAAAAAAACTAATTCCATGAGTTAAAGTTTACTATTCAAGGGCCTCAAGTGAAATGGTTGGATAATCTAAGAATAGTTGCATTGTCATTAGCAAGAGGAAGTAGTTATGGGGATAGGAAGATTTTGATCTCCATTTGGGGGTCTGGGAAGAGCAAATACTGGATGTAAATCCAGTTGTATGCACAACAAAATATGTTTTCCCTCACCTGTCCAACAACAGCTCCAGCACCTTCTGGGGGTTTGTAAAGGAACGATATGTGCTCAGGAAGGTAGGTACGTAGGCAGTATCAGTTCCTTGATATTCTACCAGGAGGTTCTCTACCAGCTTCTGAAGAGTTCCAGCACGTAGACTTCGAACTTTACAGGTCTTATAATGAACATAACCAGGGCAAGAAGGGACAGCCTAGGGATAACGGGGAGTGGGTTATATGGGGAAGAAATTACGGGGAAATAACACAGGATAAAGAGGAAAAAAAGGTGGAGAGTAGGCAATAGTGGAGGAACTCAAAATGGACCAAGAAGAGTAAGAAGATGGTTCTGAAGATGTCACGCAATTGTGAAGAAAGGGAGATAGGATGAGTGGAGACGTGAGGTTATCACGAAGAATGGAGGAAAAAGAAGGATGTAGAAGATAAGAAAGTGGTTAACAGGAGTTGGAATGAGTCTTTAAAATCTCAAGATTTCCATCCATCCAAGTATCAGTTCTTCCTCAACACCCCTTGTAAAGTACTGATATATTGCTTAGTTTGTAATTATTGTTGATGAAGGTATGTTGGATATTAAATCCTTGGTCGGGAGCCTAACCTTATATATTTAATGTGTCTTTATAATTTATACAAGGTCATCTATATATCATATTCTCCACCACATGCATTGCCTATCCCTTTCTCTATTGATGTTAAATGAGCCATTTAAAATATGCCTGTTGGTTTGTTTTTTCCAATTAAACTATGTTTGCTTAGTTCCTTTTATTCAACGTATCTAAGGCTGTGGGATTTGATACAGTTATAGAAAAACACAATGATAACAATGATTTATTATATCGCAAGGAGAAGGGGCGGTTGGCATTGTTTACAGTAGCCAAGACGTTCTTTAGAAAGATATATCGTGAGTAGTAGGGTATGACAGACGGCTATGGTGACAAAAGACAGGAATGTGACAGGTTACAGGTTGGGAGAGATGTGGGTGAACATATACACAGAAAATGAGGAAATTAAGGCAAATTAAACATCGGGGTCTACATAGGTTATCATGAGAGAGAGAAAGAGGGAAAGATAAAAAGAACTACAAAAAATGTCAAATTAAAATTTTAACAGCAGAAAAATATAAAAAAAGTATGCTGCCATAATATAATATGTTCTTACTAATAAAGTATTGTTACACACTTCAGTTAAGGCTGCAGTAGCCATACTAGAAACATTCTCCAAGTGATCTATGCTACCGTTTCAGCTACTTCGGCCTTAATTTTAAAATTTACTTTGAAATCCCAACAATTCACACTTTAGTAAATAATCCTGTCTGACCTTTTGTATTAAATGTGGAGATAATAGTAAATTCTGAGTAGTTACGCAGAAACCACCTTCATGGGATAGAACACACTATCTGCTATCTGTTGTTACCTGTCTGAGTGAAAAATACCAGATACAGAGTGTCTGGCCTAGGTTAACATTAAGTGAATTGTAGCTTGTGATTGGAAATGTGTGTTATTTTGTTATTTTGTCATAACTGTAGGGTGGTATCTTAAGCCATATGTCATCGTTAGGATAGCAATTTCATGCAACTGGGCCTCTTTAACAGCTGGGCCCTAGGCAGCGGCCTAATGTCATGTATAATGGTCACTCCTACTTTGAGATACAGAGGTCCATCTCGTACCAGGTTGTCTTCAGGTGGTGTTTCTGTCCTCACTCTCCTCAGTGTCACGCCATAAATGGCCCCATCTTCAATCTCCTCACCCCATTCCTGCAATGGATTCTGGGAAGAAAATAAGATTACAATCTATGATTCCATCATCATTGTAAATGTCACATTATGTCTTAAAGTTTGCCTTGAAGTTAATACAACTGAGAACTCTGCAGGCAGCAAATAAGCATGGACATTATTTGGCCATCGAAGCTGGAGCAGCCACATCAGCCACCCTGCCAGCCACATCAGCCAGCCACATCAGGCAGTCACCCTGCCACAGCAGCCAGCCATAGCAGGCAGTCACCCTGCCACAGCAGCCAGCCATAGCAGGCAGTCACCCTGCCACAGCAGCCAGCCAGCCACAGCAGGCAGTCACCCTGCCACAGCAGCTAGCCATAGCAGGCAGTCACCCTGCCACAGCAGTCAGCCAGCCACAGAAGGCAGTCACCCTGCCACAGCAGCTAGCCATTGCAGGCAGTCACCCTGCCACAGCAGCCAGCCATAGCAGGCAGTCACCCTGCCACAGCAGCTAGCCATAGCAGGCAGTCACCCTGCCACAGCAGCCAGCCAGCCACAGCAGGCAGTCACCCTGCCACAGCAGCCAGCCATAGCAGGCAGTCACCCTGCCACAGCAGCTAGCCACCCTGCAGGCAGTCACCCTGCCACAGCAGCCAGCCATAGCAGGCAGTCACCCTGCCACAGCAGCTAGCCATAGCAGGCAGTCACCCTGCCACAGCAGCCAGCCATAGCAGGCAGTCAACCTGCCACAGCAACCAGCCAGCCACATCAACCAGCCACCCTGCCACAGCAGGCAGCCAGCCACAGCAGGCAGTCACCCTGCCACATCAGCCAGCCACAGCAGGCAGCCAGCCACAGCAGGCAGTCACCCTGCCACATCAGCAACAGCAGCCAGCCAGCCACAGCAGGCAGTCACCCTGCCACATCAGACACAGCAGCCAGCCAGCCACAGCAGGCAGTCACCCTGTCACATCAGCCAGTCACCCTGCCACAGCAGCCAGCCAACCACAGCAGGCAGTCAGCCACATCAGCCAGCTACAGCAGGCAGCCAGCCAGCCAGAGCAGGCTGTTACCCAGCCACATCAGCCAGTCACCCTGCCACAGCAGCCAGCCAGCCACATCAGCCAGCTAGCCACAGCAAGCAGTCACCCTGCCAGCCAACCACAATCTTGTGCTGTGTGTACGATCACTGAGCTCAGTGTGGATCTGATATTTATATTTCACTCCTTGATATTTATATCAAGATACATGTGAATATTTGTTGCCACACATTATGAAGATAGGGCTTATATCGAAGTGACTTCAGTACTGTCTTGGGTGAATAAAGTATCCTGGTGTTAACAGTGTTACATACATGTATGATTTTCATTTATGTTCCTTCTTTCCATTTACATGCATGTGTGCCAATAAGCAATGTCATAAAAGAAGAGGGCTGGGTTTACTTGTGTGTGTATATGGATATATTGGTGTTACACTAGTTATGGCTCTATGTATATATTGGTGTTCTGTTACTAGTGCTGTGTGTTTGCGTGTGTTAACGTGATTTTTCTAGGAACCTTTTCCATCAGGTTTCTTAACCCTTTGCATGCCTGCGCTTTATGTGATAATAACAATGCCTCACCCCTTCGTGACATTTCGTATATATGTTTATATATATATATTTACCATTTTTCATGCCCAGAGCTCAGTCTACAGGGCAGGCAGCCCATAAAGAGCCGATGAAATGTTTAAGCGCAATACTTTGTGAAGAGCTCCACATACAGGGTTAATAAATTACAATGTATCTCAGTTAATGAATGACACTGTAGCTCAAAGCATGTTCCTACTTGCAAGACTTTTGGATTTGACTTTTGGATAGTCCCTGCCCTTTCTATAAATCTCTCCACCTGATTCCAGTCAGTTGTGTTCCCCGGTGTTACTAGTACTGCGCTGTGGCATATGTTGGTGTACTTTCAATCAAAGTAGTAAATTAAAATAACTAAATATATTGTTAGAAGAAGTGCTGTATGCTGCAAGGCCGCCCTCTAATTCACCTAGTTGATGTTGAAAATCCAGCCAGCTACTCTCATTGTCCTTAGCCAAGCTAACTGACAGTGATAAAGCGTTACATTAACCAGACAAGGGACACTAAGTCTATATGTGTTTGGAAGGAACTGAGGGGATAATAGTTCCACTGCCTCCTTCAGTAGCTGTGAGCAGGGCCAGATTAAGAGCTCAGTGGGCCTGGTGCTGACAATTATGACGGGCCTAATTACAGAATCATATCGACCAAAAACAGTAAAACACTCCCAAGCGTCATGTATCTGATGGAGATGGTGCTGGAGAGAAATAAAAACAGCAGCTATAAGAAAACACATACCCTAGGCTAATCTCTCTCTAATTTATGTTTTCATCTTTCAAGTAAATCCATAACCCCTAACAGCAGTGTCCAGTCAAGCAGGAAGTCAATGGGCATGGTAAAAGGGTGTGCCACTGACACAAATCACGTAACCTGCCAAAAGGGGCGAACATGCCCAAAAAGAGGACATGTCTGCCCAAAGAATTAGAAGGTCAGCCTGGCATGAATGCATGTCAGGCTGCCTGCCAATCATGCAGCTGGCCAACTAAGGGCATACTATGCAGACAGCACCCTGAGCTTGGCATAAATGCATCTAATGATGCACTCACTCAACGCTTTCTAAGGACTGTTCCCTAGCACTCGCTGGTCCACTTGTCTCCTTTCCTTCTTATTAGCAGGCAGAAGCTCCTGGTATATAGTCTGTGAAGGAGAAAAGCTGTATGCAGTGAGTGTAGAAGAAAGGGAACATGCCACGGTGTTAGAGAGACCAAAGTCAGCATTACCTTAAAGGATCACTAGAGAGTCAGGAACACAAACATGAATTCATGATCCTATAGTGTTAACACCACCATCAAGCCCCCCTGGGCCCCTCATGCCTCCATAAATATAGCAAAATCTTACTATATTCAAGCCTGAAACTGTAACTCTGCATGCTGTTAGACACATAAAAACAAGCAGTCTGTTGACATCATTAGAAGTGGTGGCCTGATCCAATCACAGTGCTTCCCCATAGGACTGGCTGAGACTGACAAAGAGGCAGATCAGGGTCAGAGCCAGCATGCTTCAAACACAGCCCTGGCCAATCAGCATCTCCTTATAGAGATGAATTGAATTAATGAATCTCTATGAGGAAAGTTCAGTGTCTCCATGCAGAGGGAGGAGACACTGAATGGTTGGATGCATTTTAGGCATCCCTAACAGCCATCTAAGGAGTGGCTGTCACGATTCGGGGAACCCAACACGCTGGCACACACACACACACACAAAAGGTGCCGTACCGGACCTTAGAGTGGCCGGGCTAAGCACACACAGAATAGTCAGGAAACAAGCCGAGTAAGGGGAACCAGAAGACAGAATAACGTGAAACGAGCCGAGGTCAAAGGGTAGGAGAAAGTCACAAAGTCGGATAAACAAGCCAGAGAGTATGTAACCAGAAGTACAAGGTAAGTAGTAATACTAGAAAGCAAAGACCACAACAGGGCAGGGAGGAACATGAAAGGTAAGTATTTAAACCATAAGGTTAATTCTGATTGGATAATTTCCAATCAGAATTAACAATCACACGTGGGAGATATCTAGACCTCCCACTGTGATTGAGGCACTGTGCCTTTAACGCCGGGTCAGGTGACTGACTCCGGCGTGTACAAACTTGGGCGGTCTCCCAGCGTGCAGCGTCATGTATGCTGCCGCTGGGGGACGTGGAGGAAACGGCGGGCGGCATCCGAGGCTGGAAGGATGCCGCTCGCCGGACCCACGAGGAGGAGGGGACCGCGGACGGCTAGAGGGTGAGTACCGCGAGCGGAGTGCAGCCTCCCCTCACAGCCGCCCGCGGGATCCCGACAGTGGCCAGTGAAGTTATCACTAGGCTGTAATGTAAAGACTGCATTTTCTGTGAAAAGACAGTGTTTACAGCAAAAAGCCTGACGGTAATGATTCTACTCACCAGAACAAATTCAATAAGCTGTAGTTGTTCTGGTGACTATAGTGTCCCTTTAACTATATTCATTGTCATCCAGTCCACACAAGTTTTGTTCCCATACATCCCTCTTAAGTTTCCATACTTAAGAAGGGGTATGTGAAAAGTAGTTAGGGTTGCCACCTTTCTTGGAAAAACATACCGGCCTTACTAATTTGCATAATTAAATATGTATGGGTGACATCATATGATGTAAATCACAAGGAGTGACATAAGAGAAAATTCTATAAAATCACCAAAAAACTACCTAGTTTGATTCTGCTGTATAGATGGATTCCTCCCAGTGCCCCCATGTCTCCCATTGCCCTCATGACTCAGTGCCCCCATGTGTTGATTACTCTAAGTCTCAGTGTTTCTATGTATCAGTGTCTCAGTGCCCCATGTCTCCCAGTGATCCTATGTATCACAGTGTCTCAATGCCCTATGTCTCCCTGTGTCCCCATGTATTCCAGGGTCCCCATGTCACTAGGACACTAGGAAGACGGGGAGACCTGGGGACACAGGGAGACCTAGGGACACGGAGACACCAGTGACACTGGGAGACAAGGGGACTCTGGCAGGGACACATGGGGACAATGGGAAAATAGGGGACACTTGAAGACATGGGGACACAGACACCAGGGATGCAGACACTAGAGACACTGGCTGGGGGACATGGGGACATTGAGACATGGGGGCACTGAGAGACATGGGGACACAGACACCAGGGCCACAGACACTAGGGACACTAGCATGGAGACATGGGGACATTGTGACACTAGAGGCACTGAGAGACATGGGGACAGTGAGACACTGGCAGACTGGGGGCACTAGGAGACTAGGGGTCACTGGGAGACTAGGGGACACTGAGACACCAGGGACACTGGCTGGGAGACATGGGGACACTGTGTCCCCATGTGTCTGTGTCATAATGTCTCCCAATGTCCCTTAGTGTCTCAGTGTATGTCTCCTTGCAGCCTTTTCCCCCCATCCTTTACTTCCCTGAGCTGTAGGCTGTCTCTGCAGGGTGGGAATTGCTGTCTGGACTCTCTGTAGCTGCACCCATGCAGATCAGTGAGTATAGATAGGTATGGAGGGAAATGCTAGAACTTCCTATCCCTGGCTGTCTCCACATACAGCGACCCCTACTGGCCAGTGCTGGTATTGCATAGTAATCTCTTGTTTATACTGAGAAAAATACCAGCATTTGTATTGCCATTGTCACTGCAATATTGGCACTAGCCAGGCAGCCTCAAATACTGGCTGTGCCAATAAAATAAAAGCCAGGTGGAATCCCTAAGAATAGTGTGTGAAAAAAAAAAATGTAAATAAAATATATATATATATATTTTTTTTTTTAAATCAATGGGCCTATTCCATGGGCCTGGGCCTATTCCATGGGCCTGGGCCTGGAGCTGCAGCTCCATCAGCCCCTATGTTAATCCGGCCCTGGCTGTGAGTGAGTGCCAGGGTTTAGGGCCTTGTGCTCTGTGAGCTGAGCATTGCAGCTTACACTGTAGCAGCTTAATTTTATTGGCCTGTAGGGCCTCACTGCAAGTTTTGTGCACATAATTACTGCAGCCAGAAGAATTTATATAAGCAGGCACTTTGTAGATTGGAGTTTAGCCTTTGGCTACGAAACGGACCGTCAAAAGTAGGTGCAGTTCCCCCCTAGCCCCCTCAGATTGTGTTTCCTTCCTTGGTACCTGTTCACATCTTTATTTGAATTTGTCATAGTCTTTAAATGGCAAAAAGGAGGCTTTATATTTATCTTTTTAAATGGACACTAAATGCACCCAGACCACTTCATATAATTAAAGTGGTCTGGGTGCAGTATCCCTGTCCCTTTAACCATGCAATGTAAAACACAGGAGTTTTAGAGCAACGGCAATGCTTACATTGCAGTCCTAAGATTACCGCTAGTGGCTGTCTACCAATTTACCTCCCTGAAACAACGCTGGACATCCTCACACTTTGCATTGGGACATCCAGCTTCTTAAAATCCCTCATTGAAAAGCACTGATTCAATGCTATCCCATGGGGAAGGCCTGGAATTGAGTAAGTAGCTAAAGGGTTTTTAACCGCTTAAAGGGAACCTGTAAGCACCCAGACCACCTCTGCTCATTGAAGTAGTCTGTGTGCTTTGTCCCTTTTGCACCTAGTGCTGTAGTATTAAACATTGCAGTTCCAGAGAATTGATTCAATGGGGAGGTCTAATGCGTGTGCAGCATTTTCCGCACATGCGCATTGGACCCCGCTCGTCGCGGGATGGAGGAGGGGCGGAGCTTCGACCCAGAGCCGAGGGACATCGGTGCTGGGATAAGGTAAGTAAATAAATTATTTTTAACCCTTTATTTACCGGGGAGGGGGGTGCGAGGGAGGGGGATGGCAGAGGGACATTATAGTGTTAGGAGTACAGATTTGTATTTGTAACACAACACTGTTACTTTAAATAAATGGGGGGTGTTAATCGTAATTTGTTTATACTGGCTGTTTAGGAGCCTGTCTGGGCAGTTTGCCTGGATTTTCAATGTTGGGTTCATTTGTGTCATAGATGTTTTGAAATAAAGTTACAGTTTACTATATCAGTGTGTTGTTACAATGTGTTTTAAAATGCCTTTAAACAAAGACTATGGTCTTACTCCAACTTAGGGTCTCAGTGTGTTTCTTATCTCAGTGTGTTCCTGGTCTCACTGTATTCCTGGTCTCACTGTGTTCCTGGTCTCAGTGTGTTCCTGGTCTCAGTGTGTTCCTTGTCTCAGTGTGTTCCTGGTCTCACTGTGTCCCTGGTCTCAGTGTGTTCCTGGTCTCAGTGTGTTCCTGGTCTCACTGTGTTCCTGGTCTCAGTGCGTTCCTGGTCTCAGTGCGTTCCTGGTCTCAGTGTGTTCCTGGTCTCAGTGTGTTGCTTGTCTCAGTGTGTTCCTGGTCTCCCTGTGTTCCTGGTCTCAGTGCATTCATTGTCTCAGTGTGTTCCTGGTCTCAGTGTGTTTCTGGTCTCACTGTGCTCCTGGTCTCAGTGTGTTTTTGTTCTTAGTGTGTTCCTGGTCTCAGTGTGTTCCTGGTATCAGTGTGTTCCTAGTCTCAGTGTGTGCATGGTCTCACTGTGTTCCTGGTCTCACTGTGTTCCTAGTCTCAGTGTGTCCCTCGTCTCGGTCGGGGGTGGGGGGAGGTGCCGGGGGAGGTTAATGAGGCACATGAAAAGGCACACAGAGTGCTGGGGGAAGGCACACAGAGGACTAGAGGGAACAAAGAGGCACACAGAAAGCTGGGGGAGGCACACAGAGGGCTGTGAGGGAGAGAAAAGACAGGGGGCTGGGGGGAAAGGACACAAGTGCTAGGGTGGGCCAAGAGAGACACAAAAGGGCTGGGGGACAAAGAAAGACACAGAAGGGCTGGGGGTGAATAGAGACACAGAAAAGGTCAGGGGGGGCTAGGGGAGAAAGAGATGTTGGATAATAAAGAGACACAGAGAGATGCTAGAAGGACAAAGAGACACAGTGCGGCTTGGACGACGACAAAGAGAAACACAGAGGGGCTCGGGAGGACAAAGAGATGCACAGAAGGGCTGAAAAGAGAAAGAGACACACAAAGGGGCTAGGGGGAGAAAGAGACACACAGAGGGGCTAAGGAAGGGGAAAAAGAGACACACAAAGACATGTTGGGTGAGAAAGAGACATGTAAAAAGGCACACAAAGTTGGCAATTTTTGTTTTTTTAGGGGGGCGCAAGTAGATGGTCTTGCCTAGAGCGCAAAATAGTCTTGCACCGGCTGTGGGTGGAAGGGGTTTTAAATCACCTTTTACTACACCTTAACTGTATTGGCTTATTGTAGTGTGTGTGTTTGTGTGTGTGTCTCTGTCTCTCGGCAAACCCACATTTTAAACTCCATTTATAATATTAGTCTCTTTGTAGATCTGACACTCATTTTAACCAAAGAAGAACTAGAATGGCAGTCAAACTGTTCTGGCACACAAAGGGTCAAATAACATGTCTTCCTAATGCATACAAGCATTTTTTCCCTGACCTGGGGCAGAAACCTATCCAAATCATGTGTTACGCTAAACAGCCTATGTACTAAAGAGAAAGATTTCATATAGATTATTACACAGGTGTAGTGGTATAAACGCAGTAAGCTGGAAGGCTCTTTTGTGCCCACACTCTGTCCCAAGGGACACACGCCAAGTCACAACAAGGTTAAACCACCAGGTTCCATGCAAAGCGACTGGTCCGGTTTAACCAGCTCCCCTCCCCCTACCAGCATGAGATCCTGGCCTCCCTGCTAATGCTGACACCAGCCCTCATATTACCAAAACATGCCACCCCTGCCAAAGGCCGTCTTCAGGGAGCCGTAAAACAGATTACTATGGGGAAATCACTTTTATATTTTATCTGGGGACACATTTAAAAAAACAAATACATCATACAGGACAATGATTTCAGCATTTAATAAAAGTTAGACCTAGTCACT